TGTCAGGCTTGTTTGAAACTCTTTGTCGAAAAGAGGAAAAACCTGGATAAAAAATAGGATTTCCCACAGTCCACTGGGGGAGAAACAAATAAAAAAGATGTTTTTAAAAATAATTGTTTGACATCCTTGAATTTATTTCCTGTACAGCTTTAAATGGACAGTGTCAGCTTTTAAAATCACGTGTCTTATATGGTTCTTGCATGCTAAAATCACAATTAACTGTTATTTTAGTATAAAGCTAGTGTGAGATTAGAATTGGGTACAAAATGCTCTAGGCAAACATATTTATTGACTTAGAGCATGGCAGTAATAAAGGGAATATTTTAAATCTAGGATATCACTATTTTGTTCTCTCCTCCCCTACCCCCAGCCTTCTCAGTGTGGACTGGGGAAAAAATCAATGAACTTCCTTTTCCTTTAGTTTATAAATCAGTTCCGTCTTCAAGTTCTGTGTTGGTTTAGTGAGGTTCTGGTTTCAGATATGGCAATAATATTTTTTTTTCCTGAACCAGCTGTCTCCATTGGATTTTTTTTAATGTGGAAAGTTTTCTATTGCTGTTGATTTTTACATAAAAGCATATTTTTGTAATGTTGAGGTTTTGAGCCAAATGTAAGGTATGTAATGTTTGCCTCCACAACTAATTTCAAATTCCCTCATGCCCTTAATCAGGCTCTTGGTCATTTCAGTAGTAATTGGCCTGTATCAGATACAGTTTTTACTTTCCATTCATAAAACAGCATATATTGAACCTGTCACATACACCTAGCGCCAACTCCTATGGGTGACTCTCCATGGAGTTGGAATGGGGCTCATAGGGTGTCTTTACACGTGGTCCTGGGGTAGGGTGCTTTAATTAGAGTGGCTCTCAGAGTATCTTGTGTATTCAGCATCCTGCATTTCAAAATGGCAGTAGGGGTGTTTTAAGTAAAGCTTATTCAACAAGCTTCAGTTAAAGAACCCCTGCTGCCATTTTGAAATACAGGGAACCTGAATACATGAGAGACAGAGGCTGGTGGAAAGCGCTAATTAGCGCGTTCCAGCAGACTTGATTAATCGAGTCTGCTCCGACACACTGTAATTACAGCATATCGGTGCAGCTTCCCTGCACATCTGCAGTTACCCATAAGTATGGAGGGCAAAGTCCTGTAAGTGGATTGTTGTAGCCAGACCTTGGCACCTGTGTAGAGCGCCATTGCCTTCTGGGGTGTTCTGCCCAGGTGCAGGCCTCCACCTCAACAAATCCATTTGCAGGAGCTGGACCACAATGCATAATTCTCAAAAGGGAGATGAGAGCCACTTCGACTGTGATTAGAGGAGTTTGGGGCTAGAACAAGGCTGGGCAATTATTTCAGTTGGGAGGCTATTTAAGTTTTGGTGAGCTGTTGAGGGCCACACACAAAATATTTTGGAAGATACCATTTTAGCAAATTATTAGGGGTGCGCTGATAAAGATTTTTTGGGCTGACACTGATGGTCAGTTATTTACAAGCCATATTGGCTGATACCAGTCTGATTGCAGACATGCAAGCTTGGCAGTTTGGAGCGCAGTGTCTGGCTGGTGAGTATTGGGGGGAAGGGGCATGGGGGGTATAAATTGAGGTGCTCACGGTGAGGGAGGGAGTGGGGTTTGGGAAAGGGCAGGCACTGTCCAGCTGGGGCAGGATAGGGCATGGGATGGACCCGTGAGCAGCTCATCCAGATGATGTGGGGAGGGGAGGCAGCCCCCACCTATGTGCTCACCCCTGGGGGAAGCATGGGGGACACATGCCCCCCCCAGGTTTGTGCTGCGAGTGTGGGCTGCCCACTGTGGGCTGGGGCCAGGGGCAGTGCTGGGCTCTTCCTGGCAGGGGGGTTGGGCCAGGGCTGCGCTTGGGGTGGTAGTGCTGGGAGGTGGGCTATGGAACATTTTGGGGTGGCTGTAGCTCACCCCATAGCCCCCCTTCCCCCCTTCCATGCTGTGATTTAGAGTTCATGGTTCATTTAGAGGTCCTGGGGCCTGCGCTGTTCAATTTCTTCATCAGCGATTTAGAGTTCATGGATTAGAGCCCAATTTCATGTTGACTTCACATGTTTATTAATGTTAAGTTGATTTAGGCTGCTCCCCACCTATGTGTTGAAAAAGAGATTTAGAATATTTCATGCAACTCATGACAACAGTAAGCACACCTGAAGCAAAGCAGACATTTTCCTTTTTTCCTGTACTGCTTTAGCTACCTTAATATTCCTCTCCTTTCATGGAGATGGAGTTCTAGTAAGCTTGTAGAGTAAAACTGTCAACAGCATGTAAGGGACTTAGCCTGTCCTATCTGATGAAATAACTAGGGCACTTTGGCTTATGTCCTCAAAAGTAGTTAGATGCCTAACTTACATTGATTTCAGGGGGTATGTCTAGTTACCTTTGAAGATCTCATTGCAAGTTGGTTTGGTTTAGGTTACTAAATGCATAAGTAACTTTCGAAAGTGAGATTTTAGCTCCTAATTTTACCTGTTCAGACAGAATAGTCTCTTATCCAATAGTCCTGTGACACCTTATGTGACACTTGTGTAGTAACACCAAGCTCAGTGTAACTGGCAGAACTGGAGTCCAAAGTACTCACTAATGTTGTATGCTCATTTGAGCTATCATGCTGTCTTGATGTGTATTCACCAAAATCTTTGTAATTCACCTTTTAAGTGGAAAAAAATGTCATTGCTTATCAGCATTTCACAGTACATATTTAACACTACTGTTGTGTTAGCAGAAATAAATATGACATAGTGGGTCTGTCTTATGCCTAATGTTGTGTGAAACTTCATTTTACTTATTGTCTACAGTAAAAAAACAAACAAACTTTGTTTAGTTTTTTGTGCTTATTTTCTAAAGTAGAGTGTCTAATTATAGTGGAATTTGTAAACTTCTGGGGGTATAAGTCGCACGTTAAAATGAACAGCAACATTTTTACTCTTTAAAAACATTTCACAATGGTTTTCCCATTATTTTTACTGTATATTTTGATCAATATTTATTGAACTGGTAGACTGCAAAGCTGCTTGACTTGCTCCCAAATTGAAGTTAATATTTAAAGATAGTTGTACCATGGTAATATTGAGTTATTTTGAAGTCTTCCATGTTTTTAAACTTGAATGTCATTTGAGCTTTAATTCATAAATAATCAGACTTACTTGTTTTTCCTCAGCCTTATTTTCTGGATGTAGTCATTGGTGAGGCTGACATGGAGCCAGCCTATTTTAGCTCCTAATGAAGTCAGGGGAGAAACATGACATTGCCTTTGGTAGTGCAGGATCAGCCCCTGGCTGTGTCTCTTCCCAGTGCAGCAGTCTATATTATAACAACATTAAAAAAAATTGATTCCTGGCAAGAGTAAAAAATCTATTGCGTCTATTCTAACAGATCACTGTGATTATACTTGGCAGTTTAGTTGAGCAGTATCCTCTTGATTTCCAAAAGCTTGCAAATCATGTACAGAAGTCTTTAAAATGTGTAGTATGGCAACTTTTGCATTGACCTAGTATTTTCTGGAATTAACAGTTTAATTAAGCATGAAAGAGCTGAGGTCATCATTAGCTTTTTGATTACTCCTTGTATGAGTGATGACAGTAATCATAAAGATTTGAAGATTTAAAGGGACATTGCCAAAAAAAACATGGTAAAGAGATATGATCATAATTCAAGTTTACATTTTTGTGATGGGGTCTGCTATTCCACAGGCTTTGGTTTCATCAGGGTAGGATCGATGCTTAACTGCTCTGGCACTTTGTTTTTTGTGAGAAGCGCTGCCAGTGTTCTGAATTGTTATTTGGAGATTTTGGGGTATTTCACTCCTTTAATGTAGATAGAAAAGATAGAAAATCATGATCATTTTTATTCTATATTCTTTAATGACATCCAAAATCTTAAACGCACCCAAAAAAACCCCCCCAACCAACCCCAAACCAGTGATTTCTTTAAAGAAAATATTTTCTTACCATAACTAGTATGTTTCTTAGGCCCCTGGCACATGTTATGTTTATGGTGCAATTAAGGTGGTATTTGTGCCAGAAATAGCTACTGGCCACACGTTTGAAGAATTTATGATGCCATAAAATCACAAACCATTCATAAAAATATTACTCGAAAAATGTGTAATATCTTTGTGGTTGATTTGTATGGCACTGTAACTTGAATGTGTGGCATGCCACACAGGGACTGCCCAGGGCTGGACTGGTCTGGGGTTTAAACCCCAGAACAGTCTCTGCTAGCTGACTGTGGATTGAGACTTGAGCCCTGGGACAGTCCTGATCTGTTGATGATCAGGTGTTGCTGAGACCACAGAGGGCTTGAATGGCCCTGAGGGAGCCTGGAGCCAGTTGACATTCATCTGATTGTTGGGCACCTGACCTGCTGGTAAAGGGGAGACCTGCGGTCATGATCCCAAGCTCCCTTTGCACCAGCAATATGAAGTGTTTGGGATCTGACTCCTGATCTCAGTCATGCCCCCGGCCATGCACATGCAGCATGGCAGGAGGTGCAATTGTTGAAATTAGGGATCAGATCCCTTTGCGCTTTTAAGTGACTGTCTGTCGGGGGTCTTACACATACTGTTACTACTCCCAGAATGAAGTGGAAACAGACAACTTTAGTTTAGACCAGGTACAATAGTAGTTTTCCCATGAACCCCAAGAAGGCTAGTACATAGTTGTGATGTTCCTGGAGCAAACTGGAAGGTAGATTGTGACTCGCCAAGTCACAACCCATCTTGTGGATTTTCTCTTGTTTTTCAGGGCACGTATTACATTCTGGACCTGCGGTGGGAACCTCACTTCCCTTAGCCTAGTAGTGTCCAGTAGCGTAACTAGGGGTGGTGAGAGGTGTCAAGTGGGACACTGGAACTGCCCTCAACCCCCCACAGAAGTGGCCCCGGCAGCATTGCCATGGCAGGAACTCTGAAACAATTCCTGGTTTCTGCTGCTTTAAGAGCAACAGAGCTGGGGCAGACAGCGCATGCGTGGCAGCGGCAGCTCAGCTGGGAAAGTTTTTAGCATTTCTGAGCTGGTCCAGGCTGCTGCCCCCAGCTCTTGAACCCACGCCCCATGCCTTCCCCATGCTCAGGACCTTTGCTGTCTTGCCCATCCCCACTCTTGGAGCCACATGTCTCCCCCTAGTCTCCAGCAGGATTTGCCCTGGGTGCCCACTTAGTTTATTATGCCATTGGTGCTGTCATCAAACCAGCCAGGGGCCAAAGATCTGCCACTATCGCTCCCCATTTTTCCCATTCATATCTGCTTTTGCAGGGTTAAAGTGTAACAGTCCTATGAAGTCTGCGGTCCTCCCTGTACCACTCGCTAGGACATGATCCTCCCAGGTAAAGAAGCAGAGAGTTGCTTTGCCCTATTATTCCGTTGTGCTGCCATGCCACAACCAGGCCTGTAATGAACAATTATTTCTAACCTGTAAGTAGCAAATGGTATCTATGTTCACGTGCTACCTATGCTGTAATCTCCTCCCTCTCTCTAGGTGTGAGAAGTTGTTGTGGAAATTATGATGAGATTAATGTTATGATTATGGAGTGAAGCGGTGCCGTAGCCATGATGGTCCAGGAAATACGTAAGAAACAAGGTTCCTTATAATATCTTTTATTGGACCAGCCATGTAGTTGGGAGATATTAGGCAAACTTTTGGCCACAAAGTACCATAGTTCAGATCTGAAGACTTCCTGACAGTCTGAAAACCTGAAGAACCTTCAGAAGACTTGGAGACCGTCTGAGGAAGGTAACCCTAAGGAAAGGCACTTTGTGCCCAGAAACTTGTTCTGACTTGTTTCCCAATGATACAGATGATCCAATAAAAGATCTCATCAAAACTCCCTGCCTCTTGCAAATGTGGAAGACTGTTTTTTTGAAGCAGTAACAGCAACCAGAGAGAGAGAGAGACTGGAAGACGCAACAAAAGTAGAAAGTAGTTGCCACAAAACAAACCTGTTTCCCTAAAGATATTGAAAACAGTGTAAAAAATAAGCTATTGAATGGATTCTGTGGAGAAAGGACTTAGCAGTGTTTGCTAGTAATTAGAGCCAATCAAGAATTTTCTCGCAAAACAGGTTTGAAATGGAAAAATGCTGACTTATCAAAACATCTTATATTTCACAGAATCTTATCAGTTTTGACAAACTTCCAGAGAAACACTGACAGATTGTATTGAAAACCTGCCTGGTTTCCTGCTTGCTCACCTGGCAGTCTGTTGGGTAGTCAGAACTTCCAAAAACTGCAGCTCTGGGGCATCCTATGCTTCCAGGCTCTATAATGGAGCCTGTAGCGCAGCCTTGAGAAACCTGGGTGACACCAGGCTATCTGTCCCATGGACAGGTTACTGGGCACACAAAATGTATTTGAGCATAAACAAAAAAGTAAGGTCATGTACAGAATGTGACAGCTGGGTAGTTCCCCATTTTGCATGAGACATGACCTGAGACACACAGGCACTGTCCTTAATTACCAAAGATTAAAAAAAAACAGTTTTGATAACTGATTCAGAGCTGAAATTCTTCAGTTCTGATACGGTTGCTTCTGTAACATCTCAGTCTGTGCTTGGCTTTCTGTAAACTGAGATAACCAGAGTAAGGCTTCACAGTTAGGGCGGCTAGGATCTGGAACCAACTTCCAAGGGAAGTGGTGCTGGCTCCTACCCTGGGGGTCTTTAAGAGGAGGCTTGATGCCTACCTGGCTGGAGTCATTTGAGTCCAGTCTTTTCTCCTGCCCAGGCGGGGTGTCAGACTTGAAGATCTACAAGGACCCTTCCCACCTTACTTCTATGATTCTATGATAGGACTGCCTACCTGTATTGTGATGGGAGGTAATACAAAAGTGAAAACTGATTATGATGAAGACAATTTTACATCAGAAGGTTCAGATTTCAATTTGTAGTGAGTCTTTCTTTCCTGCTTTCCAAATGCAGGATTGGTTTGTGGGATGAGCACTTGCTGCAAATCATATCTCTTTGTGATAAGTATTAGCTGCCAGATTTTCAACTGGAATAAATTGGGATTTCAGCAAAGCTATGCTGCATCATGTCACTTGAGAATCTGGCCCTTACAGAATTGCAGGGGGAGACATTTCTGCAAGAGATGTGTGTATGAAGAAGCTAAGTAAGGCTTTAATTTACAAATTTCACAAACCACAAGGAGGAGCCAAATGGTTAGGACACTTGCCTGGAGAGTTGAAGCACCAGATTCTGAGTAACATTTTCCCAGAGGAGGTCTCAGCAAAGTTGCAACCATCAACCAAAGGCTAGATATTGCCAAAGCACCCTCCACCCTTCTTTTTGAAGCGAGCTCCCTGGGCAGCCAAGAGAAGATAAAAGGGGTCAGGGGTACAGGCAGTCCTCGACTTACAATGCTTCGAGTTACAATGTCTTGCACTTACAATGTTTATAAATTGACCCCGTTTCAACTTTCTGATGTCAGTTTCAACTTTACAACACTTGATATGATGCCAAGCCACGCCAGCGAACAAGTTCGCTGCATCACCCATCTCCCTGGACAATATCTGTCCAAACGTCCTTGGACACTTTAACAAAGCAGACAAGACTCCAGAAAAACCTGCAGCCAAGACTCCTGAGAAGACTCCAGACAAGAACCCTTCAAAAAGTCCAACAAAGAGCTCTTCAAAACATTCAGCAAAGTCTCATCAAAGAAATCCTTCCAAATCAATATGGCTGCTATTTGCAATATAAATACATTAATGTAGCTATATTACTCATCTATAATAGATTGAGTCAAAATTCTGGGTTATTTTTTGGTGAAAATAGGGTATCAGGCCTTGGTTCAGGAACAAGTTGCCCAATTACAACATTGTTTCCCATGGGGAAAATCGGTTCCAAGTTGCAACATTTTGACTTACGACACAATTGGTTCCTGAAAACCATGTCTTCAGTCTGAGGACTGCCTGTGCAAGCTAGGGTAGTGCCTGTGAACTAGTGAGATGGGCAGTGTCTTGAAAGGGAAGGGGTTTTGGCCCTACTGGTTTTTCTGCATTTTTCATGTACTAGCCATTGGATAAAATAGAGTGGCCTAGCATTTGCTACCTTGGGACCAGAGGCAGGGGCCAGAAATAAGGGCCTTTTTTAAGGCAATGGTCTGTTCACCAGGCCACACACCTTTTTAGCATACACTGGGCACGTCTACATGTATATCAATGATCTGTAATTACAACATATTAGGTTTATTACTTAATGCACCATAATCGGCATTACTGCGTAGTAGCTCCAGCACATCTTTTAGGTGATGCTAATGCGCAGTAAACTAATTCTGCTGTGCATTAGTGTATTAGCACAGCTTTTGATGTGACGTGTTATAATGTGCAGTAGAATTAGTCTACTGTGTTTCTAGCATCTCTTGTAGATGCGGCCACTGTCTCCAACTCTACAGGCAAGTGTCCCAATCACTGGGCTATGGGGCAACTTCTTGTGGTTTTTCTGGTCTTACAAAGAGATTATACATCTACCCAGGTGTATAGGATCACAACAGTGCATAAATGGCCAGAGTGCCATCTGACCATGTTCAGAAGAACCTGATAAGTGGTGTAGAGAGGAGTTGGATTTAAAAATCTGCATAAGTGGCTCAGAAAGCCACTTGTTCTCCAAAAAGGGAGTTGGATTTTGGGCCTTCGTTCATGCATAGATATTGACATCTGGAATTAGCTTTTGGATTGGATTATCCAAAAAAGGCATAACCTGCCACATTTATTTCCACATCACCTACCAATTTTAATTGCAGGTGGAGAGGAAAAAAAGTCTTTGTTTAATTGTTTCAAAGATTATTTTAAGGGAATTTAAAGACAGGAGAGGGGTGGAAGAGTTTAACAAGGGATATTTTCCCCAGCTTCTGGTTTCTAATTACAGCTGTTATTGCCCAGCCTTCTGAGTAACTAAGAGTACAAGCATGAACTAGAAAAGAATGAGATAATCCATAACAGATCAAGCTGAATAAAGATCTCCATTCATACCTTTTATCCCTGGTTCTGAGTGCCAAGAATTTAATGCTATTTGAAAGTACACAATGAACTTGCCATACTGTGGGCATCCAGGATAATCCTAATTACTTTAAATGTTAGTGAGAAGGGCAGGAGCTTCACAGTGGAAAAGGATTCTATTGTGAAATAGTAGATGTGTTAGGTGCCATGGAATGGACATGACTTTGTTTCCAAACGTTTAGGCCTGTCATTTTCATACGAAGGTGAGTCACGTGTGCTAAGATATGTTCTAAAAGCAAAGTACTATACTTTATTCTGTTCTTCTTTCACGCGTCTCTTATTTAATTTTCAACTTTTTTAGTACTGAGTCAACATAGAACTTGTTAAAATATATTGACCAAAAAGAGTTTAAAGAGTAAATAGTAATTGAGTGATGCATTTCAGCATGGAATCTTTTGAATGTGTTCTGAAGGCAAGGTTGTAACTGAGTTTTTAATTGGCCAGTTACTGTGAGTATTTGATATTAGAGATCTCAGATTGAATTAGGGCCTTGCTGTGCTATGTGCTCTGTCAACACGTGGGAAGAGACAGTGCTTCTCTTAAAGAACGTGCAGAAGTCATGATGTGGTAACATGCATTAGTTGAATGGACTCCCATGATTTTAGTGGGAAAGAGCTTCAGTACACAAGGGATAATGCTTATTAGGGGTGTGCAAAGCGGGCCGTATTCAATTCGGATTCAGCCTGAATCAGGGACAGTGATTCGATTTGTTGATTTGGATTGCTGTCCCTGATTCAATTCAGCCAAATTGGAATCTGAAGATTCGATGCTGATTCAGAGAATCAACGATTTGGCCATAGACACAGCTTTAAATGTTTTTTCTACATACCTCGAGGTACCAGCGCGGCTTGTGAGCTCTGTGATGGTGGGGCAGATGGAGCATCCCACAAGAGTGCGGGGATTCCCCCATGTGCTCAGCTGCAAACCCAGAAGTGGACAGGAAGTACTTCTGGTCTGCTTCCGGGTCCGCCAGGGAGCGCACTGACAGCTCACCGCCCCCACGTCTCCCGTGGCTCAGCTATTGGCTGCGGGGGGACCCCGGGTGCCCCCTCAGACCCAGGAGGCACCAGTTGCTCGTGCGGGGGGCCCCCCCTGTGCGCTCCCCAGTGGATCCAGAAGTGGACCGGAAGTGCTTCTGGTCCACTTCTGGGTCTGCTGCCAAGTGTGCTGGGGAACCCCCTGTGCTCCTGTGGGATGCTGCATACACCCCACCATCGCAGCTTTCACAAGCAGCCTGGTACCTTTACCTATGTAGACAAAACATTTAAAGATGTGTCTATGTCCGAATCTTTCCTATTCAATTTGGAGAGATTAAAAGGTCTCCTGATTCGATTTGGATTTGGAGATTCGGCCACTGAATCGGGCCAAATGTCTGCCAAATGGAATCGGGGACCAAAGCTTCACACTGCCCTAATGCCTATGCAGTACTCAGTCCCTGAACAGGCAAGTGACATGTGACAGTGGGGGGAAGAGGGATACACCAAATATATGGCATCTTTATAAACATTTATGCATTTGCAGATGTTTTAGATCAAGTAAATGCCAGTTCTACCCCTTGAGTCTTCCATAAGAGTAAAGCAACCAACTTGGGGTGCAAAATCCAGGACGCGGTCTCAGACCATTGATCTGAGGAATCAGAAGTTGTACCAGAAGTAGCCATGCCAGAGTGTTGCTGTGGACAGGCTGATCTACTCTTCTGAGTTTTAATTAGCTTGAGTACACTGCTACAGGGACATATCTATTCTATTTCTGCATCAGGAGTTTGCTTAAAGCCATGTCCTGATCACATTTCCAAAGTATGTGGCACCAATGTACTGTGTCCTCAGTAAGTGCAGTATAACCTAATATGGGACCAGTTTTTCAACTTTAGAATAGAAGTCCTGTTTCTGGGAGTCTTCTGGGACACAATCCTAAAATTGGGACTACCCTGAAAAATCTGGTGTGGTTGGTTGTCTTATTAAATGGGAGGAGGAGAGTGTAGTTATGTAATGCTCTAGTTCAAGGAGGGCAATGCATAAGAATGACTACAGTAATGTGCATGTATTTTTAGGTGCTTCTCCTTTGGGAGTGATGGAGACTTGAATAAAAATAAATAAAGAAGCCATGATTCTTTTTTGTAAGAAAGATTCCCTTTCCAGAGGGCTTCTTGAAAACGTTTTTGATGAAAATTATTCACTAAGAGTGAAAGTTTGTCACTGCTTTTTAATGAAGATCACAGGTAATCTATAGTCATCTCGTAGCCACCCAGAACTTCTGGGAGCTGGAAACCTTATAGCCATGCTTTTGTGGGAAGGCCTGGTTCAGTTCACGGATGTGGCAGCTACCAGTGAAGGTGCTACAACTACTGCAGAATTTCTCTGTCTCTGTATATACACATGCACGGAAACACGCGCACACACACAGCTGAAGCACCTTCTGTCTATGCGTCTCTCTGTATAAAGAGAGAGAACTATTATCTACCATGTGTTGGCAGAGGGTTTAGACCTTTTGCTTCCTGGTCACCATCTACACGCGTGTTGTGGCAGCATAACTAACTCCACTGTAACATAGTGCTTGTACCTGACAGTACTGTCCTACAGCAGAGTTAATTAGTTTACTGTGGCCTAATAGTACTGCACCTGTAGATGGTGACACTTTTCTGCGGAGCTAAATAGGAAACTCCACAGTAAAGCACACTTGTAGATGCACTCAATGAGTAGAAAATGCTTATTGCATCTCCACTGAACATGCCCCCAGCACCACTGTCCTTCACTGTCCGCCACGTACTGTTGTGCAACACTGAGGATAGGATGTGCTTCAGGCTTCACAGGCTTCATTTCCAGACAAGCCACAGCCACAGCCATCTCCTATCAAGAGTCAGGAGATGACCAGTGAGTCTTAGCTCTTAGACACATTGGGTGCATCTACACAAGATGCTTAATGTGCAGAAGAAAGATTCTGCTGTGTATTAGCGCGGCTGGCAAAAACCGTGCTAATGTGCAGTAGACAGTTTAACGCACGTTAAAATTACAAAAACTGTTAATCCGTGCTAATGTGCAGTAGCACCAATTACAGTGCATTAAGTTAGTAACTTATTACAGGTACTAAACGTAATGCACCGCAATTACGGTGTATTAACACGTAAATGCACTAGGATAACTAAGGCCTCGTGTTTCTTGGGGAAGATAGCTCATGTCTGAAAATGCTATATGCAGCATTTAAAAAAATAAAGAAGATTCCACTTATGGGAAATACTGGTTGTAGTTGGCCCTAAGTTCTCCAGGGGTCATAGGTTTCACCATAGGCATTTAGGCTAAGTACAGACAGTCAAAAAGCCTGAGGCTTAATCAATTCTGTCTCCACAGCTTAGTCTAAACTGTGTCGATGAACTAATAAGCAAGTGAGCGTTCCTTTTGATTCCAGAAATGCAGCCACATACTTGCAGTGGTCCAGGCCAAAAGCCAAGGGGTGCCAGGGCACATCTCTCTTCTCAGCTGAAGCAGACAGCTTGGGCCAGGGCTAGCCAATCCATCCTCCAAGGGGACGGGGTGAGGGAGTCCTGGTGGGGGAGGGTGCAAATCATCCTGGGATGCTGGGGGATTGAGAGTTAACTTGAATCTGGAGGAGATCTGGGACAGTAGTTCAATAAACTGATTTAACCTAAATCAGTTAAGTCTAATACTGCATCCTTCTAGGTTTATCTTAAAACAGTTTTGGCCATTTTGAAAGTAGTTTATGTGCACTGAACTTCTGTTGTGTTACAGATTTGAACACTCAATATTGGTTTATGTGTAAATTCTGTTCCTAGCCTTAGTATGTTTTCAAATACAAATACAGTTTCAAATACAGCCTATTTCCCTAGACTGGAAATGGCCTGAGTAATTGCACAGGGTCACTTCAGATATAGCTGGGATTGAAAATGTTATTTCTGATATGACAGAACCAATTCACAGCCATAGTGCCTTCCAGAATTCACATGTCAAATCTAAGTGGTCAGCTGGTCCGTTGGAAACCCCGAGATCCTTACTTCCCATATGCCAGTGCTGCTACAACTGTGTAAACCAGTGGCAAAATATATGGGTTTGACCCCCTTTCCCTTTTTTAGTGACTGACCTGCACAGAGGATAACAGTCTGCTATTTCTATCAGTTATTTCTTTGGTTCTAGTATTAAAGGTCTGGTCTGTGGGTAAAGAAATTCTGGGATTAAGCCTGTTAATAATGTATGCCAGGGTTATTATGGTAGTATTTGATGGCATTGGTTTTTCAGTTTTCTTTCTTACAAATTGCATACAAAACTATATTGAAAGGATGTTAACATTTCAGTCACACCCAAGAAGCTGGAAGTACCAAAATTCAGGTGTCCTGTGTAAATGTAATATGGCTGTTGTACATACCTGCATTATGACACTGTGTTGCCCAGAGCTATACAATAAGTCTATAAGTGTACTTGGAAGAAAAAAAAATGTTCTTCTAGACTGATCCTTGAGATGAAAGGGAATATTTTTCATTAGTTTTACCACCCTCAGTCTTCTTTATTATTGTCCATAGAACCTTCATTCTGACAATTCATAGCTTCTGAGTGTTGTCTTGGCAGCTTCAACATTCGTTTAAAATAGCATTTTGTATATAATTATATTCATCAGCATGCTGGGCTGTATCCATGAATATAGTGGAAGAGTCCTTCCCAGAAAGGGAAACTCACTGGGTCTTTGTCAGCCTAGGATGGCAATTAAAGTTCTGTTGACTTTAGTAGGAGTTGCACATGCTTGCTTGCTTCAAAAATGAATTTCATCCATGGCTTTTCTAGCTCACTCTCCCCTTGCAAGGTGGCAGGTATGCCAGCCCAAAGGAAGCAGGGCGACTTGATAAGTCACTCATGGAGATCCAGAAATTCCACGGGGACAGTTTGTTCCGTTTCCACAGCTCTTGAAGCACATGTGAGAGATGAAGAATCCACTGTTTGTATTTCATAAGTTTCCCGTCTTGTGGATGGCATGGCTGGCTTGGTGATGTGCTGCCATTGGTTTTCCAGCCATATTTGTACCTTTTGATACTTCTTAGGGGCTCACAAAGCATACAGTGGAACTTGATGCTTTCTCAAGCAGCATTAATTTCTGAGATTTCCAAGAGGAAAATCTGCTAGGTTCAAAAGGGAACATGCCATGGGAGAGCAGCAGCAGCCTGCTCCTAGTTCCTGCAGCCCAAATCCACAGTGCCCCAAGCACACTTTGTTTGTAGCAGATACTGTACTCTCTGGAGCAATGTTACACTGGCTCTACTCCCTCTTCTGTGCTCACCAATCTTACAGCTGGTATTTACACATTTAGTTGCACAGTAGAAAGGAGCACTTGGACCCTTAATAGCAACCAAGGTGAGTACATTTATTTCTCCCCTCCCTGAATAAAAGAGTGAAAGAGGAAATCGTTTTAATAAATGGATTATGCTACTCAAGTTTAAATTTTAAAAATGGCTTCTTATTGAGAGTTTAATGGTTTTTAAATTTAAACGCAGGGAAAAATTTACTTTTCAGGCATGAATATCCTTCTGGTTTCTCACATCAGTGGAAGTGCATTATTTTTTCCAGTCCATTGAGTTCCAGGGGGATTGCTCAAGTTAAAAGACAGCGCTCTTTACATTGTGTCAGAAGATCTAAGGTTTTGTTTTTGAGGGTTAGCTCCCTCCCCCCATTATTTTTATTATGTGATATGAGCTGAGAATTTCTCACATTTAGCTGGCATAAAAATATTCAGAGTTTTTCTTTTCTTTCTTTTCTTTTCTTTTTTAGGAATAAAACAGATTAGGTATAGGGATGGCCTTATAAAGAATCAGGACCAAAACCTGCAACTTTTACTCATGAACAGACAGTTCTTATGGAATAAAGATCCAGTGTACTAACTAGGGATGTCAAGTGTATCTGGCCCTGTGGGCCAGGTAAGTGGTGTTGTGGGGCTGGTCCATGGCTGGATTGGTCCCATGGACTGCCCATGCCCCAGACTCTCTTCTGCATGCTGGATGTAGTACTCACAGCACCTGTTCCAATTGGTCCAGGACTGCACTACCCATGTCATCCACCCCTGCCAGTCTAGGACTGTGCCACACACAGTGCCTGTCCTGGGCCAGCAGGTGTGGGCACTGTGTGGTGTGGTCCCAGACTGGGTAAAGTAGATGTGTGCAGAATGCGTTGTTCATCCCAAATCTGCTTGAGGCTGCTCCAGCATGCAGTGCATGTGTCAACTCTGCAACCCAACAGCAGCACTAGGGGCCATATGAGGGGGCTCTGCACACCAGATCTGGCCCACAGGTTGCATCTTTGAAACCTGTGTGCTAAAGGATTGTAGCATCAGATATGTACTGTAACATGACTAGGACAGCATGGGACTTGTTTCTTTGAGCAGGGTTGAACTGCATTTCATTTCTGAGCAGTAGAACTGGAACTGTGTATGGGGTTTTTTGGGGGGAGGTTTAGTTTTTGGGGTTTTTTTCCATCTTAAGGGTATCTCTGGGTAACAATCCAGGTATCCATAGGGGTCTACGTAACTTACAGTGAGACGAAGCAGCTTTTGTGGCTTGGTCACAGCATGAGGAGCTGATTTTGCAGGCATTTCCTGGTGGCCCCACCCCTTGCCGCTGATTGGCAGGGAGGTATATACACTTCATTGACTGGTACCTTCACTTAGTCTAGGTCACTAGCAGACAGTAACTCTCAGTCACTGATCTATGGCTGCAGTGATTGTCGCGTTGTCTTTGTATTGAGGTAAGCATTGGGGCATTCTAAAACAGTGTATTATATGAATAATATGCTGCATTATTTTTCCATGCATATTCCATGCTGCATATTCCATGCTGCATATTCCATGAAAACTGCAAAACTGTGAAAGAAGTAGACCTCTAGAAATCCAGTTCCTCTTATTGACATACCTCACTTGCACTCCTTATTCAGGCAGAAAGTCTTACTGAATCTCATTGCCTTTATTGGGAGTTTTCTTGAGTAAAGAATGAAGGCTTGGGCCTAGTAAAAACTATCTCATAAAACACAGATGGTAACTACATGGTAACAAGAGAGGTGTACTGCATTTCACTGAGGTATCTGTTTAGCTGTCATTACAGTCAGATCATTTCAAGGTAATTGAGACCCGGAGCAGTATAACAAGTCCTTCAGTCTGAAGCAGAGTGCAACAGAAAGCAGTTAGTGGCCATTAGTAGTACTGGGCCATCTGAAATGGTTGTCCAAGATGTGAACCTGTGTTGCTAAAAGCAAGTTTATTCCCTTAAACAAAGGAGTTGAAATAACATCTGCCAGCTCCCCCAGTCATATCCACTAACTTCCAGGTTTGCCAGGAGGCCTTTCTTGTTCAAGGACTCGGTGTTGCTAGGGCAAACTTTCAAACTTGCAAACCCAAAGTTAGACTCTTAAGCACACGTTTAGGCTAATAGCTTGATTTTCAGAGGTTTTAAGCACTTGCAACTGTGCTTGACTTTGCACAATTAGTCAAAAGCAGACTGCTTTAGTTATTTAGAGCAGCAGTGCTCAACCTCTGGCCCACAGGCCAGATCCAGCCTGTGGGTCTTCTCACAAGTTTAGTGATCTGGTGGCAATGTTAATTGCTGCTCCCCTGCTGCCAAATTTCCGGGTCCACACAGTGTCACATGGGCCAAGTGATGTGGCCCTGCATGCTAGATTGTACTGATGCATAGGGTCATTCTGCAGCCAGATCCAAGCATGTAGGAACAGGCTGACATGTAGGGTTGCTCCTTGGATGGATCCCATCCACAGACCAACTCCACAGATCAACATTACACTCATGATCTGGCTTGCAGACTGATCTTGTGATACTCATTTCATCTGCAAGGCTAGGTGGGTTAAGCATCACTGGGCGTGTCTACATGTGGGTATTTAATGCACATTATCCCGATTTTGAAGTGCATTAAGGGCACATGTCTACACATGCACACCCATAATGTGCCATAAAAAATGGTTAATTTAGGCTGATCATGCCTAAATTTGATATATCCATAAAGCAAATATCAAGTTTAGGCGTGATTAGTTAAAGTG